TCTGCACCTTTTTAAATTAAAGTTCCTTTCTGCTGCATTATGAATATGAATGTGTTGTTTTATTCCCGCGGGGGTGGGGAAGATGAATGGCCCAGAGAAATGTAGATTCATTCTTAGCATTCTCCACCCCAGTTTTTAGTGAGACCTTTTTTATACCTCGGTTCAGTCACCAATCCCGAAAGAGACTTCCAGCCAAGAAATCAGAAGAAGGCTGGGACCGCAGCAATGAAGGAATTAGGAAAGATCATCAAGTGTAAAGATGTGTCGCTGGAGACCATGGCCAAGATCATCCACACTCTTGTATTCCCTTTCACCCAACACAGGCATGAAAGCTGGACAGTAAAGAAAGGTGACAGGGAAACATTAGATTTGTTTGACATGTGATGCTGGAGAAGGGCTTTCAGGAGACCCTGGACTGGGAAGCCAGAAGGAAAAGAGGAAGACCCAATACGAGATGGATTCGCTCCCTAAAGGAAGTCACAGGCTTGAGTTTCCAAAAGCTGAGCAGGGCAGTTGAGGACACAACATTTTGGAGATCACTCAATTCATAGAGTTGCCATAGGTTAGTGCATAACAACAACAACAACAACCCATGTTTTACATTTAACACCATTTTCCCCCAAATCAAAAAGGGCTCTCCAGCCACTCCAGTTTTGACTTTATTTCTTTCCTGGGTTTTTACGTTTCAGGGAACTTGGAAAGGGTCCCTGGAGATCACCCTGAATGGCTCTCCATGGCTTACAGGAGACTCCTTATACCTTTCTGCAGCAAACTGATTTGGGTGCCCTGCCACTCGTTTTGATGTTTTATTTTTTTGCAAATCTGTGGGACCTTGATCTCTCCAGCTCATTATATTCTTGGTCTGTTGTCTTTCTCAGCAACCTACATGGATCCCCCACCTTGCAAGCATCCTGTAAGGGCACTCAGGTTGGTAGTGCGTCACCGGCCTAAGGTCAAGGAGTCCGTTTTGTGCCCCATAAGGATCGGAACCCACTTCTCCTATTTCCTACAACCACACTGTAATCACTACATCCCATAGGCACTACAGGGAAGAGCCGGGACGTGCCTTGACAACTCACCCATTAATTATAACATGAGCTCTTGTTGATGCCCCAAACGGTTTATGGTGCAGTAAACCTGTTAGGCCAGGATCCTGTTTGATCTACTCTGTGTACAACTACATGGGGAGCGTTCTCCCTTTTCTGGGGTGTTTCATTGCATTACCGGCCACTTGACTAGCTACGTACCCGATGCATGGCTGTGCATGTGTCCTATAAAGCAGCATGGCTCCTATTCTACATCCAGGAAATTCCAACCAATACTGGCCCTAGCATTTAAGGGTCCACTGTGTCTTCTTGATGTTCATGGCAGCCAATTAACATAGTTTTCCCGGGGTGGGAATATTAAAAAAATAGATCTCCTCCAGGGTCATATGAGCAAGCTAAGCGAGCATTTTTTTTCCCCATAACAAAACATTTTGCTATCCACTGCCCCATTCTTCCCACCCACCCCTTGCCTTGTTTTGCTAATTTATATGATGGGAAGCATCCCATTTATATGATATGAATTTATATGATGGGAGCACAGTACAAGCACCTTCTTCTGAGTTAGGAAAAAAAGATAGCTTGCTTCTGCCATCTAGTGGACAAATTGAGGCAGCACAGAAATCCAGCTGGACATAATTCCATGGTTATCTATCCACTTGCCAAGGAGAAATCCCTCCAAATGTTGCTTTGACAGGGATTCTCATTTAGCCATTGAGGGGAAAGGCTTGCTAGCAGATCAGGCCCAGTGCTGTAGTAACAAAGGGTGTTCACCTCTGGGCCCTTGGGCTTCAATTGGGGCTTTGAATGCAGAATCTTCATGGGCCAGAATGCTCATTTGCATTACAAATTCCTTTCCAAGTTTCTCATCCATCTGAAGAATATATAGGCAATCTTCTCCAACATGCCAAACAATGTTTTTCAACCATGATGCCCCATAGGCACACATCCACACAGGTAGGCGTGAACAGGTAATACTCACATACCTCTAAAATCCTGACATATATTATTTTTGCTCACTGCTAGGAGCAGCAACAAGGAAAGAGAGATCACTAGGGGAAGGGACTAGAACGGCTGTCTTGACAGTAAAATATTGGTGTGGAGGAAGAACAGTAGTCGCTTAGATCAGATCACCCCTGGGGGGGGGTTTCCCCAATTAAATTATGAAGAAGGGTCAGTTTACACACTTTTAATCTTGATAGTCCAAGAGGGACATGGTAGAGCTGTAAGCTGTGGAAATATCTGATAGGGTCTGGATGCTGCACTTGAAGGACGGCAACAGACGAAGAGGTTCAGAGGAGGGCAACAAGAGTGATCAGGGGGGCTGGAAACCAAGCCGTAGGAGGAAAGACTGAAGGAATTGGGCATTTTTGTTGTTGTTTAGTCATGTCCGACTCTTCGTGACCCCGTGGACCACAGCATGCCAGGCCCTCCTGTCTTCCACTGCCTCCCGGAGTTGGGCATGTTTAGCCTCGAGAAAAGAAGACTAAGGGGAGATGTGACAGCATTTTTCAAAGACTTTAAACGTTGTCATACAGAGGAGGATCTGTTCTCAATCATTCCAGAGTGCTAGAACACATAATAATGGGCTTAAGTAATGGGAAGCCAAATTTAGGCTGAATATCAGGAAAAACCTCTTAACTGTTAGAGCAGTACGACAATGGAACCAAGGAATCAACGGTGAGCGTTCCAACACTGGAGGCATTCAAGAGAAAATTGGACAAGCGTTTTTCAGATCTGCCTTGATTTGGATTCCTGTATTGAGCAGGGGATTAGACTTGATGGCATTATGGGGCCCTTCTGACTCAGTTATTCTATGATTTTCAAAAAAAAAAAAAAGCCTAGTCTTACAGCTTTCCTAGCAGTGTAAGCACTGGAATCAATACAGTTTGAAACTGACATTTCGCCTTGTTAAGGTTCCATGTGCTTTTCATCCCTGCCCTACAAAGGGCATCTTTGCATGTTAGGCACATAAAAGCATGTGTCGGCAGTCACAAAATACAAACATTCAGATTTCTTTTTTTCCTCCCCCATGACTGCTTATCCAGACAAACAGATTCCCAGTTATAGAACAACCTTTCCAGTCTGTCCGAATTGTGCAATCCTATGGTTTGCTGATGCAGAAAAAGATCTTACAATGGTTAGGTAAAAACAGAGAGAACGTAACCTTCAGAAATATGTGATAAGACTCGGGGAGGAAGTCAGCTGCCAAGATTTTCAGGTAGTGGTTAATGATTCGGAGAGCTGCAAATATACAGAAATATTCCTAATTTCCCATTTTGGAGCTGGAGGTACAGTTCAGAGGGCAGAAAAGCCACTGGGTGGATTTGGTCTCCGACGCTGCATGAATTTTCCAGCAAGGATTATAAATCCTTGATTTTGCTCCAGCCATCTACGGCTCCTCAGGAAAACAGCCATGAAAGCCAAGCTTTCTGCTGCCAGCTGTTATCAAGCTGTTCACCTAAGGGTGCTCGCCCTCCTGCCACCAGAGAGACTCCTGACAGCTCATCCACCTGCCTCGGCCACATGGCACCGCACTGCGCCTCCGAGGGAGGAGTTTGAAAACTTGCACAGCATTTTGTAAAAGAAATCCAATTGCACCCATCACATGTGCATAAAAAGTCTGAACATGCACTGTGTTAAGGAACATCCATCTTTTTCTGAATTGCTTTTTTCCTTGGTATTTTCCTCTCCAATGTTGAAGCAATGGCAGCAACACAAGATGCAGGCTGGGCCGTATTATTCATAAAACAGAAGCCTAGGGGCCCTGCAGGAACCAGAGGCCTGTCATTGTTGAAAACTTAAATTTTGAATTTTATTTTGCTAATAAATGGGCTCCAATAGTTAAAGGCGCTTTGTCCTCTGTGGGGTAAATATATATATATTTACACACACACATATATAGATATGTATATATATATATACAAACACACACACACACACACGCAGTATATGCATTACTTTAATGCCTTGTTACTTACCAGTTCCTTTTTTTGTCCATCTCTCTATACCAGTATTCAGGTGAGCATAATAAAACACGGGAGACGCTTTGCACAATAAAAAATATTTAAAATTGTGAATAGAATTCTTCAGGAGCCCCTCAAAATGGCTCTAGGGCTTTGGACTGCAATCTAAACACTACCATACCAGGATCAGGCCATCAGCTATAATGGGGTGAAAGACTGAAGGGCCATGGGGGGCACACAGAATTTTTGAATGCCTGAATACCAGGCCATGGGCTAATACAGCCCTGGATGCAGGTCTATCGTCTTCTGGAGGCATCCCATAGAAAATGCCTGTGCAAAATTTAGTGGATTTTAGTAAACTCTTGTGTTCCTTGTTATGACATCCTGAATCTAAGCGTCAGATGGCGAGGAAGGAGTGTGTCTGCTTACAAAAAAAAAGCTTGGCTTTGTAGTTAGCAATCTGCCTTAAAGCAACTTTTCCATCCATCAATGAATCACTGTAGCCCTAGATCAAAACTCCCGGTGACTCTTTATTGTGTCCTGTTTAAATTTATCTCTGCTTAAAGAATGTCCTGTTTATAGAAAAGATGTGTTCCGCCAGTTGTACGACAGTATACGGAATTATGTTATGGGCCCCTTTCGACCTTTAGAAATACATATTTCTAGGATTTTTTCCTTTAATATTTTTAGACCCTGGATAAGTGAATACTGTGAATAAGTGGATAAGTGAACATCTATGAGTAATTGTATACTGATCCAGTGGATAAGGGACATCCTCCTGTGCCATCAGGAGGAAGAGAACGGCGAGAGGAGCTAATAGAAATATATAGAAATGTATAGGAAGAACGCTTTAATGAATGTTTCTAGGAGGACCCCTTCGCAAGGACAAATACCAACCACACCCTGTGAACCACATCCTTGTGTTGTCTGAAAGAATGGAGAGAAGGGCCCCTTTCCCGAAGATCAGCAAAAAGACAAGCCGATACAAAGAGAACAGTGCTGAAGATTTTAGCCGTTTATTTTCCTAATGAGGAGATTCGCCTCTAGATTTTGGTGCGCTCCAAATTTTGGGGCTCTGTTGTCTTGTCTTAGTGGTTATCCTGGCCATGCACACATCAGGATGCAAATGAAGCAGATTGGGGGTGGCTTAGGTTTGACAAAAAGTTATGACAAACATCTTTACCAGCTTCAGAGCCTGCCTCCAGCACTCCCACCAATTCTGGTCCCGCATAGGAAAGGCCATCCCTTGTTTTCACCCTAGAAGTCATGCCTTCAGAAGGGGGCAAGGGGGCATTTTTACAAAGGGATCGTTGCTTCTCTTGTCGTGTCCCGTACGCTTTTCAAGAAGCTCAGAACGCCCGTCCCACCAGTTCCTCTGCCTTCGAGGAAAGATGGGGGAGTCCCGGAGAGAGGGGCCAGGTCGGGGTTGGTCTTGATCTTGCGGGCGGCTATGACGACGTATCTGGTGACCATGGTGATGTGGTAGGTCCTGAAGTCACACAGGACGGCCACACACTTATTGTAGGCCTCTCGGAGAGCCTCGCTTCCAGACGATAAGACGTGATTCCTCAGCGAAGGGGCAGACTGAATTTCCTTGATGAACGCCTGGTGAGGAGGCGGCATGTATGACCTCATTAAGCGCAAAAACCCAGCTAGCAAAGGAGACAGAAAGGATGCATGAGCCAAATTAAACATGGCAACAATGGTTGAGAGAAAATATTCTACGAGAGACCTGAAGGTCTGTCAATTGAATCTTTCACACATACATGCATTTGTGAAACCTACTGTACATGCTTTTAGCGGTGCACATTTCTCAAAAGCAGGCATGACACAGTGGGCTTTTTTTTCTTTCCTGAAATGCATCACAAGTTTCAAAACAGCATGCATTTCTGGGGGAATCCATGAATTCCTGACATTAAAGATTCAAAAATTCTGAAATTTTAAACCGTTCAGATTTTCAGGAATATGGTGCATTTTATCCCGGGGCGAGCTTTGGGAAGTGCAAACGGGATAGTTTCATGGGGAAAAGCAGAAGCAGAACTTTCCAATTAGGGGAAATTGTGACATCATCCATCAGAGCCCTCTGGCTTTCTTGTTCCTTCCAAGTTTGGTCTTGAATGGGCATTTAGGAACCAAAGATCTTTTTTTCCATTTGCTGCCAACCCAGATTCCTGAATTTTTGCTCCATGATGAGCACTTCCAAACACCACTACACAGAGAAAACTAACCTCTCAAGGAAGATGCTAGATTGGAAACTTTCCCCTTATATCTAACTTTCTACATGCAGGGAGCTGTCTCTTTGCGTTCTTGACACGCAGGAGATGTATTTCTCATATCAAAACAACAGGCTTACTGCTTTCCTTGCGGTGCTGGATTCCTAGAAGCTCGTCAAAGGCATGCAAGGTGGTGCTTTGAGCCGCACTCCCCCCGGCGTAAGCCAGAGGTTTCTCAGAGACGCCCTCGTAGACCAGGCCTTCTGGCAGAGCTGGGTTATCCTTCCAGCTGCAAAGGGAGGGAGGAGGAGAAGAGAGACAGAGGAATTGCGTTTGATTGTTTAAAGGGAAAGACTACACATTCAGACAGCACACACAATTAAAATATTCTTTATCGTTGGAGTTTTGATTCCGAATTTTTAAAACTCAGAATGTGGAAGGGGCCAATCGGTGCTTGTGCGCATTCGTTCCGCCCTCCATTTTGACTAAAAGGTTAAGCCAGGTGTTCTTAGGCTTGGAAGGAATTCTTTCTTGAGCATCTCTTTAATAAAATGACCGACTCTCCTAACTGCCTCAGAGTTGTTGAATCGCTCAACTTGACATTTATACCTGGAACGGCCGGTTTTGCAGTCTGGAACGCCAGCTCTTTCCCTCAACAGAGAAAGCAAAGCAGCAAGACGGAGGGAAAGAGTGAGTGGGAACTTCCTCCCATCTAAAATCTTCCCTTAGTTTTAAACATAGGTGCCCCATTTTTTCTTTCACCCAGAGCAATGGTCGGCAACCTATACCCCTAAAGTCATATCCAACCCTTGGTTTATGAATGTACTCTCCTGAATTTAGAACAAGGATGGGTGGCTCATGACTCAGGACCCAAAGACTCAAACTGGAACTTGGAATCCAGACCCAAAGACTCGAACTCAGGATGTGGAAGCCAACATCCCTGCTTTAAAATAAATAATAACTATAATGGTGCACCGTCAAGTCAATTCTGAATGGTGATGCCATCTGATCATACCCTCGGCTGCCTTCCCAGGTGAAAAGCATAAGAAATCACTGTTGCTGAAAATCCCATACCTTTTATTGATCGGTTTTGTTCCATCCTGAACTTGGATTTTATCTAGTTAGGTGATGGCCATGAGAACGTGATTCATTTCAACTCAGAGTTGATTCACAGTTTGTTTGTTTTTATGCTTGTCAGGAAATTTGCTTTGGAAAATTATTTTCCAGAAGAATGAATATAATTCCACACAGAAGCACATCTGCCATCAAGTGGCAGAGCATGAGAAAGTCACTTTGGGGGGATTCTGGTAACTATAGTCCAAAAAAGAAAAAGGTCAGCTAAAACAATCTTCTAGATTTCAGCAGGGTAATAGAGTCATCTGTAAAAATGCGCACATACCAGAAAAATGCCGAATCAGGGTAGTTTGTCCTTCTGTCCAAGACAGAAGGAAACTGAAAGAGGGGATGTATTTTACAATTGGTCTGTTTCCTAAACAATTTAAACATAATTGTAAGTTGAAACCTAGAGGGTAATCAAACAGTTAAAAAAGAAGTAGAAAGCTGATTTTATTATTGAAAAATGAATAGATTGGATGCTTGTATATTCTGTGTTCTCCTATCCTCAAAACCCTTTTTCTATCCCTTCCACTCCCTTTTACCTTTTGTATTCCCTACCCTATCCCTAGTAGTTTAAAAAAATATATTATAAAACAACAACAACCAGGAACTCGAGAAAAAAAGAAACATAGTTTGTGGTTCATTTTCATGGTTCATGCAGGGGGGAGGGAGGGACCCTAATGTCTCCCACCCCCTTCCCACAGTCTCTACCTGACCCTGCCTCCTTCTCCACCACGGGCATCATCAGTACTGTGGCTGCCCTTCTGGCCAACAGGCAAGCGCATGCGCAGCAGAAGCAGCAACAGGGCCCCCCCTCCCCTTCCGCCTGAGCTGAGACAGTGGTCACAGTACAAGAGATCCCAGACAGCCTCTCACCATGGATAAAGGCACCAGGACCCCATCCACCACACAGAGCATGGAGCCCAAAGATACTCACAGCACAGTTGGTCATGGCCAAGCAGAAGCACAAGGATGGGAGAACAGAGCTGAAATGAGGCATCAAGATCCAGAAGGGAAGAGCAGGCGCAGGAATACTGGCATTCAGGAGGCCCAAGGCAAAGATCTGCGTTGCTGAAGCCAGTTCTGGGAGGGAGAACCACTCCTTAAATAGACCTTCCCTCCAGCTTTCCAGGTGAGCCTCATGAGTGGCCCAGCAGCTGCTACAAAGGCCAAGGCCTGATCCTGCCAACACCAGGCTGTTCTTGGGTCAGGCTGGCCCTGATCCTGCAGGGCAGTATGGGCCAGATCCTGAGAACAGCAGGGCTGGCTCCCCTTCTAGATGCACAGTGACTGCCGGTCTGGTTCCTGGGAGGAAAGACAGGCTGCTGTCCCTTGCTCCATGGTGGAGGAAGAAGAGGAGGCAGCAGTTGCAGGACCAGCTAGAGAGGCGAAGGGGGCAGGGGGCTCCTCCGTTTTGCTGAAACGAAGCACCGGATGGGGGGGGAGAGAAAAGTTTGCCCTTTTGTTTCATTTCGGCAAAACGGGAATGCATAAACCGAACCCCAAACCTGCCCAGTTTGTGGGCTATTTTGGTCCGTAGCTCAGGTCACGCCCACCTCTATTCATCTATAAGCAGCTTGTCAAGCTCTGCTTGCAGCACGAGATGCTCGGTGGCCACATCAAATAAAACCAGGGATGCTGGATGTTTGGCGCATCTGCTTACTTTGCCCATAACAGGGTTTGCAAAGCTGGCCTTCCAAAAACGCAACGCTTCACCTTCAGAGGAGTGTGTCTCTGGCAGAAAAACAAAATCCCAAGCAACTGCTGCCTTCTTGCCATGCCAGCTGTGTTGGCGAGGCCTCTTTGCCTCCCTGCCGGGTGACACATTGCAGGAAGCGTGCTTTATATAGAAACCGGGGGTCGCACCGTTCTAGGACGCAAGCTGCGCGCTGGCTCATTAGCCTCCTCTTGCCACGTGCCCATGCCAGATGTTGGCATGACTCTGGAGAACAGCGGGGTCTATTTTTAAGCTGTTGTTTCATCAAAGCGGTCACACAACAGCAAAGACATGAGTCGGAAAGCAACCTGCTTTCCATCCGCTGCACAGAAGACCTTGCAGCTTTTGAGTCCTTGTGTTGAAGCCGTGTGGTGACATTTAGGAAGGTGAAAGTGGTGTGTTGTGGTTCGTACAACCCTTTTTAGCCAACGAGGGAGCTTCAAAGCCAACGTGTGGAAATAGGCATCCGGTACGGGTGCCAAACCTGAGCTTTGCCCTTCGATTCAAAGCAATGTGCCCGTCTTTGAGTTGATGTAAGGAGATCAGGGCAGAGGAAACGCATGCTTAGACTCTGTGCAGATCAGAGACAAGAAGAGTTCGTTTGAGGACTTGGGGTTACAGTTCCCACAATATTTTGTGCCATGACATCGAGGTTCCCTAATAGAGAAGGATCGTGAAGAAGGAAAATGCAAACTGAGAGTAGCAAGGGAGAGGAAGTGGGAAACACTGTGTTTTAGAGGGGAAAGTGTCAAACCAGGACTCGGGAAATCTGCATTCAAATCCCTGCTTCATCACAGAAGATCACCAGGGAATTGGCAATGGTAAACCACGCCTTGATTCTCTTGGAGGCCGAAACCCTATAAAGATCACTGTAAGTTGCAAGTGATCGGACAGCACATGGCAACAACAGAGAAAGAAATGAGTGTCCAGTTAGCCATGGAATATGCATGTGTTTTAGCTAGAGATGGGCCTGAAAGGAACCATGAGCCAAAAAAAACCCCCAAAAATAAAACCTGTCTCACGGATCATTTCGTGAACAAATTTGTGCATCCCATTATGCAAAAGCAAAGCAAAACACCAAATATTTTCCCCTTTGGTGTTTTGTTTGCTTTGGCAAAATAGGTTGCCACCCCTGCCCCCTTCCCATTGCGCCCATTGGCTCTGCCTACCTGCCGCCACCGCCCTTGGTGTGGGTGCCACCCTCAGCAGCAGGAGCCCCCCCCCTTCCCTGCCAGGAGCCTAACACTGTCTCTGAGCATGCAGAGACGGAGGCAGCAGGAGCAAATAGCCCCCAACAGGCAGAAAATGAGGGGGGGGAAATGACCCCCAAACCAGGACACTTTTCTGGGGGTCCATGGTGGTTTGTGGTTAGCCATGAATGACATGCTATCGCAAATCTTTGGTTTTCCGGTTCATGCCCATCTCTAATTTTAACAAGCTGACGTGCTCGCAAACGATGCAGAATTTGTTTTCTGTCTTTCTCTGTGTGTAAGAAGAAGAAATGAGAGACAGACAGACAGACTTTCCAAAGAAGCAGGAGTCCTATTGATTTAACTTTTTTCTCTCCTGGCATGGCCACTTTTTACACCACGGAAGAGAAAAATGGTTTTATCATCAACATCAAGTTTAAGCTCAGCCCAGACATATATTTATAGAAAATGTTCTGTGTCAAGACCTTCCCCACCACCACCATTATAAAAATCAATTTCTTATTACACTGCCTTCTCTGCTCCTTATTCAGGCACATGATTCCAAATCAGGAAAGTTTTCAACAGAGAACTGGAGGAGAAAAAAAAGGCACAATGATTTTTACCTCTGGTAACCCTTGTACGGCCTCACAGAACTTCAAGGTATCTGCAAGAGAGACCTTTAAACTGCAGAAAAGGCACTGTGGTTTTTACCTCTGGTAACCCTTGTACGGCCTCACAAAACTTCAAGGTACTGTATCTGCAAGAGAGACCTTTAAACTGCAGAAAGTGGGAGGGGGAAAAGGCACCTGATCTTCATAGTTTGAAACCTTGTTAGTGCCCAAGGCCACCTACATCTTCATATCAAAAGAAGCAAGCTAGGAAGTTAAAAAATAAACTCCGGAGAATATGTCAGGCTCAAGTGCCAGATTGCACTCTGTATATTTCTAGCAGTGTAATAAGATGCTGTGAATTATTAAGTTTCTGTGGGGTCCGCTGATTATTGCAAGAGGAACACCACCCATTCTAAATTCACTTGGGACTGGGTTCGACTCAGAAGTTCTGGTCCTTAGTGACACCTGTTTCAGGAATGCTGTGAATCCACTCCTGATTTATAGGGAGCTATCTGAAGTACTGAAATCTCTAATAGATCCATTATATTGGATAACTCCTATCAAGTAGTCCATAAAACCAGGAGTGGATTCACAGCACCCCTGAAATTGGCATCGCCAGCCACCACTGCTCAAGAGAATCTCGGGTCCAGGACCAGCTCTAGGCTTAAGAAGGCCCTCAGCAAAGTCTGCTCCCAGCACCCCCACGTGGCCATCCTCCCGCATTGCCGGCAATTCTCCCTTTTACAGAATCACCAGAGGATAGCAGCTGAACGCTAAGAGCCGCCATGTTAAAATGGCCGCTCCGCGCTTTCCCCCAGAATGCCCAAGGCAGCTTGGTTCTGAAGCATTGTGGGTAAGGGAAATGGTTGCATGTACACGCACACTGCCGAGGGTGCCATTTTAAAATTCCCATTCTGTCCCACATCTGACATGGTGGGAAATTTTTGACTCTTGCCTCATAGCCCCCCAGGGCAAGGGGCTCAAGAGCTGACATAAAGGCCAGGGAGGTGCTCACGCTAGTAGTTGAGCTGTTGCTGGAGGGAGCCGGGAACACGCTGAGATCCATTCTGATGTTGTTTTAGGGCTCCTCTCATTTTCTTTTCTGTGTGTATCACTAAAATCTAAGCTCAGAACTCCTCCCTTTGAGAAGCCTTCATCTCCATCGCTACTTAGTCCTAAAGCATCTCACATAACCTAGTTTCACTTACCATTAAAATCAGAGGCCAGAAAACAAAGCCCTGCTTGCAGTTGTTTAGGGATCCTGCGGTCCCAGAAGTGAGGCTTTTTCAATTAACGCCAAACATATTAGGGGCATCCTTCCCCACCCACCCCACACTTTAAGGCATCCATGTTTTAATGAGTGTTTCATGAAGGAGCCTGATTAAGTGGAAGCAATAGGAATAGCTAATGTGGCCCCAGGAAACCGGGCATTAAGGAGGAGATTCACGTCCACTTTCTGTCATATTCTTCCTCACAAAGGGGCTCACAAGGGGAGGGGAGGGAAAGAGGGAGGGTTATGTCCTTTCACCAGGCAAGGATTGTAGTTTATCTCTGTTTCTACAGAGCATGAGTGAGGAGACAGCCCATGTCTGGACTTGAACAGCCAAATACTAAAGACAAAGGATGAACAAGATTCCATAAGAGAAAAGAATGTGTTGCTTTTATAGTCATTGCGGAAGGAAGGAAGTTTGATTTTCTTGTAATGTGAAGCCATAAAACCCTAAGGACAGCCATGCTGGACCAAGGTGAAGCTCAAAGTCTGTTCACGTTGACAAACCTAGACAGCATCTTAAAAAGCAGAGACATCCCCTTGCCAAAAAAGGTTCGCATAGTTCAAGCTATGGTTTTTCCAGTAGCAATGCATGGAAATGAGAGCTGGACCATAAAGATGGCTGATGACCAAAGAACTGATGCTTTTGAATTGTGGTGCTGGAGGAGAATCTTGAGAGTCCCCTGGACTGCAAGGAGAACAAAGCTATCCATTCTGAAGGAAATCAACCCTGAGTGCTCCCTGGAAGGACAGATCCTGAAGCTGAGGCTCCAGTACTTTGGCCATCTCATGAGAAGAAAAGAGTCCTTGGAAAAGCCCCTGATGTTGGGAAAGTGTGAAGGCAAGAGGAAAAGGGGAAGACAGAGGACAAGATGGTTGGACAGTGTCATCGAAGCTACCAACATGAATATGACCCAACTCCGGGAGGCCGTGGAAGACAGGAGGGCCTGGCATGCTCTGGTCCATGGGGTCACGAAGAGTCAGACACAACTTAACGACTAAACAACAAAGTGACTTGTTGGTACATGATGATTATTAACCTTCCCGGAGCTCTCCAGACTACTGAACTTTGTCCCAAACTACATTCTTCTAGACATCTTAAGGACAATTTCTAACACCTTTAGCAATTTGTACCATTTCATTTTGCTGTAATTTTTACTTTGAAGTTATGTGCTGCATTGTTTTTGGGAAGGGGTATTTAAATGTTCCTCTCCAAACTCAATGCTCACAACCCAGCTTCTTCTCAATTACCAGTGGCTGTCTAGACTTTTTGAAACATTTAAGTGAATTGCTTGCATACAATTGGCATAACGTCTAGTCCCCCCCTCCCAATTGTGCCAGAATCTGAACAGCCAAGGATAACCACTGAATCAACACGTAATATTTTTAAAACATACACACCTTCCTCTCTCCCTGGCTTCCATCCTTCCTCAGAAAACGTCTCAACAATCAAAGGAGCAGGTGCTGTACTTACCCAGAAAGAAAGATGCGTAGCACACCATAGAAGACGACTGGATCGACATAATCTAGGGAGCAGAGCACAACTTCAGAACAAACACTTAAGACTGTCAATATAAGCAAAGGTTACCTCTTTGCAGAACAGAAACTGGAAAAGCCCATGAAGAGGAGGGCAAAAATGAGACAAGCTTGTCCTCTCTTGATTAGGATCCTGCCCATTAATTCTCTCCTTGAAATATCAAGCAACTTGAAATAACCCAAGATATGCCTGGCTATTTCAGAAAAAAAATGCATATATTTCCTATTCCTTTATCTTTGCAATTCTGGGCCCCACAAACAATTTTATTGCTGGCCCATTTTCTTCTCCAGTTTTTGTGCGCCCTCCTTAGAGCCCTCCCTTTGTCCTCATTCATATGTCACTCAACCTTGTATTCCTCTTCTGGCCTTTAGCTTGAACAAGCAAGGGCATACTGGGTTCCCAATTGTAGATCAATGAATATCTTTTCAGACCTTTAAGCCAAGTCAGGAGTGAAGGAGGTGCTGGCCTTTTTTTACAACCTTGTACACTGCCTGTAGTTTGTTTGATTGGGATGGAGTTATCTAGGCTAGAGTGACTGCTAATCTATCCAGCAATAACCAATCCCACCTCTGGATTCAAAGAGAGTCCCACCTCTCTGCTGAGTGCTTCTTTTCCTTCTCTTTCATCTGTTGGAAGCAGTTTATTAGTTTGCTGTTGATCCATTCACAACTGACAGTAATGAAACGTTTTTACTCTTTCTCCTACAAATGTCTGAGTGAGTTATTGAGCCTTTAATTGTCAGTTAATGAGAAAGGGGAACTTAAAAGGACTCTCTATACTTCTACTGCATAGCAAAAGCAATTTTATTGTCAGTTAATGAAAAAGGGGAACTTAAAAGGACTCTGTGGATCTCTGTACTTCTACTGCATAGCAAAAGCAATTTTACCGGAAATTCAAAATTCTGCAACAGGAGAGCAGGCTGATGGGGACATGAGGAGCTGCTTCTCCCATCCTCTTAATTTAACTTAAACCATTCTCTTTGACTGGCCCCATGTTCTTATCTTTCCTTGAGAGCAGGCTCGTGGGGACATGAGGAGCTGCTTCTCCTCCCATCCTCTTAATTTCACTTAAACCATTCTCCTTGACTGGCCCCATGTTCTTATCTTTCCTTTTCTACTATCTCTTCTTCATAGGCCCTTCTGCCTATTTTCTTTCACTTCAAAGTTCTCAACAACACAGCTTATGACCACCAATGACCTTTCTGCCTGTCTGATCCCTGCTGTTGTTAGCTTTCGATATTGTCTTGTCATGCTCTGAGCTGCCTTGAGTCCTTTTTCAAAGGAGAAAGTCAGGATAATGATACTTTAAATGAATAAATAATAAACCACCTTTTCCAAACGAAAGCAGGAAACACCACACTTACCGTGAGTTTTCTTCAAAACCTGGGTCATCTCTCTCAGAGCATTGGCCATTTCCTCCAAGGCTTCTTCCAGGCGTCGGTTGTCAGGTTGAACAAGAGCCGAGATGGCTTGCACCATCGCCTACAGAAGACAAGCGAACGTTGGTGTCCCCGTGCTCCCAAATTCAGGGTTGGCTAAAACCGTTTCAAAGCCCCAACTAGGCACGTTCTCCTGGGCAAAAAATGGAATTCCCTCCGAGACATCCTCTGGCCTGTGTTACTTTCTTCCGTGGTACCCTCATGGAGCATACCTTGATCCCAGGAGCAGCAGCTTTCTCAACCAGGAAGGTGATGAGAATAAAGCCCTTGGTACTCTCTCCTCCAGGCAAACAAAGGATGGGCTCCAGGTTTCTGTGAAGAGAGTAAAACGGGCAGCTGAGAAAATGCTGTAGACCTTTTTAGTCACCGCTGGGGCAGGAGACAAGGCCAGTGAATTATAGATCCTGAAACCTCAACATGGAGCTAGGATGCAATGCGGACTTCTCTGTTTCTGTCCACTGCCCTGCCACAAACTCTCCCATACTTCCTCTCTGGATGAGTCCTGAAGAGTTTATTGGAGTCTCCCAATAAAGGTATTATCCGCCCCTGTTTGACGGTAAGAGAACTTTGAACAGCAAAGACAAGGGAGGTCTCCAAGGTACTTACTCGATTTCCAAAGACCTTCAAATGTTGGAGCAGCAGCCACCGACACACCGGGAAAGGAAACAGAGAGATCAAGTAAGTTAAGCAACGAAGTCCAGACGTCCAGTCCATGTGATATCCAGGAGGTGGGGGGGTAGCTTAAATAGTAAGTCTCCTATATTTCCTGTGTTACTTGCAATGGCTGTATAAAGTGCATGCCCCAAGCTTTTCTCACCTTCTACAAGCAGAGATATCTCTTCTTTTAGGTTACTGTTCTCACTAAACTACAAACAAAAACTCTTAAACTTCCTCCTCTGAGGTTTATTGGGGTCTTATGGAGAGACTGAAGTTCTGTAGGAAGTATTGATCATAATGTAAAGCCCCCAACATCAAGACAATGTTCCTTTTACTTTCCACAGAATCATTTTCTCCTCCACGGACCTCTGGACCTGTACGATCTTCTCCATGCTCTTTGTTTTTTACCTTGGTTTGTTCCGGGGCAGAGTTTAGCGCTATGGCACTTGTCATTTACACTGCATGTCTGCAAGGTTGAAGCTTCTCGGTCAGAAGTTTTCCGTTCCCTAGTCAGACTGTTGCAATCATCAATTTGTTTTGATGCAGAAAGCTCATTGATATCAAAGTAGGGGAAATGCTTCCGGAAGGCAGCAGCTTCCCAAGGAAAGCTTGCTGTCTCACAGATGATATGATGATATCACCTCGAGTCTGATAGACAACAGTTTGAACAGAAAACCCACTAAGCCTCACATTTTTGCAGCACTGAGCAAGAGAGAAGGAAGGTGAAACACGGGAATTACGGAAGATTTCTTTCCAGTTCAAGTAGTGGCAGGAAAGAGGTTCATGAAATTATGCATAATGTGGGGGCCATTGAAAACATTTTTATTCCAACATGCTTTTGGTGTTTAATATCTGATTTTAACATAGCTAGTTTGCCTTACATTCATTGCCAGCATATCCTCTTAATGTTTTTTTAATTGATTTTATATTTTCACCCTCTTTTATATGATGATTTCAATGATTCTTCCCTTAGAAATTTTAATTGCTGCTTACATGTGGCTTTTAATTCTCGTGTTTCCAATGCTTTGTGAGCTGCCTTAAGTCCCACTTTCGGGAGAAAGGGGCATATCAATTAATTAATTAATGTGGAAAAACTGGATAGAAAGATGTTTCCTGCCTCTCCCATAATACTAGAGCTTGGGGTCATACATTGAACGATAAGCAATTAAGGACAGACTAAAGAAAATGCTTCACACAGCACATAGTTTAACTTGTGCAACTAGCTGATAGCCACCAATTTAAATGGCCTTTAATGGGGTTAAGAATTTAGCGAAATTCATGGGAGATAATGAGATTGATGGCTATAGATTATGATGACTATATTCTTGGAAAAGTTACTTTTTCCAACCAGCACTGGCTGTGACAGCTGGGAGAAACTAACAGTTATAGTTCAAAACAGCATCTTTTCTAAATTTCTTCAACTTCTTCCAAAACTATGCTACATATATTCTGTTGAATGCAAAGCTTAGCTGTCCAATATTCACTTGATTCAAGAAAACATATATTATTGCTTCTCTCTCTTCCCCCCCTCCCTCAATCTCATTGATTGGGAAGACCAATGCCTCCTCTCTTCAACAGTATTTCAAAATATTATTGATGGAAGGTCAAACAACATATCACAGAGGTATGTTAGAAGTGAAATCACATTAATATTTTCAGAGGCATGATTCTAGCAGAACTTTGTGGCTAGACAGTCATGCTTATCTACAATGGCATATCATGAAGCAAAGGAAGTCAATTTGTAAACTACAGGAGGCAAAGGAAGCAAAATCCACACTGCGACAATCAGACCTTTTTCAGCACCTAAGTAACTCCCGTGGTTAATCACGGGCTACCTAAACATATCATCTGTTACTCATTTAGTTCCTACAAGCCCCAGATGGACATGACCTATTTAGACAGGTTTAACCTGTAGGTTTAGATAGTCTCTGCTGACTAGGCTCATGCATCGTCCCTTGTACGCTTACCCATGCGGATCCTTTTTCTTCCAGTTTACTAGTGCACAGTCTGTGTGAACCAGGATCGGAGGCAGTCCCAGGAGCCGAGAGACTTCTACAAAGGGAATGGCCAGGTTTCGTGGCAAGACCTAGAAAACACATGACCAATGAGCCAATATGAGTGCTCTGTACTGCTCGGTGGTCTTTCCTTCATCTTGACATCTATGATTCCCACCCAAAGCGTTTTCAGACTACATCTCCCAGAATCCCCTAGCCAGCATGTGCCCTGGCCACACTAATTAAGGTAGTCTGGAAGTTACGGTGCAAAAAAGAGTAGCTTTTCTACTCTCTTTTCCTGACTACTGTTCTTGCAGGATTCTCCAGCTACTTCCCTCTGGTGGAGGACATTGCTATGCATGGTTTTTAGCAGTCTCAACTGCAGTAGACCCATTGACTCAATGGGATTTACAGAAGTTCTTGATTTAGCATTCCATGGGACCATATTCCTGAAGCTCCTAAGTTATCCAGCTGCATCATCTGTGGTGGAGAACACTCTTCTCTTGTGTGTTTTCAAGTGGAATTCAACTGCCCCGCTAAGCCAGCTTCTGTACATGGAAGGTACAATGGTTGTTGTGGGTTTTTCGGGCTCTTTGGCCGTGTTCTGAAGCTTGTTCTTCCTAATGTTTCGCTAGTCTCTGTGGCCGGCGTCTTCAGAGCGTTTGATTTAGCATTCCATGGGTCCATATTCCTGAAGCTCCTGAATTATCCAGCTGCATCATCTGTGTTGGAGAATACTTTTCTCTTGTTTGCTTTCAAGTGAAATTCAACTGCCCTGCTAAGCCAGCTTCCATACTTGGAAGATACACTTTGTGTGACACCTGGCCAAAATATGGTGCGGTGGTTAAACTGCAGTACTGCAGCGAGGACTCTACTTGTGACCTGTGTTCAGTCCTGATGGGTGTTGTCCTCTGAACATGGCCAAAGAGCCTGAAAAACCCACAGCAACCATTAGATCCCGGATGTGAAAGCCTTCGCGAATATATGGAAGGTACACTTTGTGTGACACCTTGGCCTCTGATTAGGGGAGCAAAATATTTTGGGACAGTTCTGGAAAACTTTGTGGTGCAGTGGTTAAACTGCAGTACTGCAGCGAGGACTCTACTTGTGACCTGTGTTCAGTCCTGATGGGTAGAAGTCGGCGGTTTCAGGTGCCCTCAGCCTTTGATCCTTCTGAGGTCAGCAAATTGAGTACCAAACTCACTGCAGGGAGGCAATGTATGTATAACCTGCATCATTAAAATGGAAACCACCCAGAGAGTGCCTTAACACTACCACGCAGTATATAAGCAGCACACTTTTGCTTCCGGTTCCTACCAGCCTATTAGCATGAGCGGTGCAGATTGTTCTACAAGGATAACATCCCCTCCCCACTTTGCTCGGTTCCAACCAGCCCATTAGCATGAGCGGTGCAGATTATTCCACAAGGATAACATCCCCTCCCCACTTTGCTCTGTAGTTCGCACTTGCAGGGGGCATACCTGGCATAGCATACATACCTTAGCGCACTCTTTTTCGCCTTCTTGCCAGACGTAGCCCGTGGTGATGAAGCTGAGGACCAGGTGGGCCAAATACTGCTCGCGGTGGCCCTGAAGATACTGGCAGCTTAGCAGAGGCATCTGTTACAACAGGGAGGCATTGAAGAGCAACAGCATCTTGACTTCCGTTCCCTTTGGATGTCTTAACAGCCTGTGTCCCCAGGTGTCAGGTGCTGCTCAAGACATACTAGGGAACGCAGTGCTGCTGACCTGGTAGCCCTGGATCTGATCTGTGGGACACATCCCTCACCCCAGACACCCACGACTTGCAGGAGCCCCCAGTAGTCATGCTTCCATCTCTCTCGTGTTTTCACAAGGCAACTTCCTTCTGGAATTCTGGGTCATGTTTTTATTAGAGGGAAGGGAAGGAAGGTCCTATTCTTCTCAGATATAACAGCAACAGAAGAGTATATGAGAGTTTGGCTCTGGGGGGTGGGACTGCCTGGTTGCAGAGGCTGAGAGCTCATAGCATCATAGAATCATGGGATTGGAAAGGGGCCTCTAAGGCCATCCAGTCCAACCCCCTGCTCAAGGCAGGAATACAAATCCAAGCACATTTGACCGATGCTTCTCCAGGTTCCTCTTGAATGCCTCCAGCATTGGAGCGCTCACCACCTCCCGAGAGAATTGGTTCCATTGTTGTACTGCTCTAACAGTTAAGATGTTTTTATTGATATTCAGTCTAAATCTGGCTTCCTGTAACTTGAGTTCATTATTATGTGTCCTGCACTCAGGGATGATCAAGAACAGATTCTGCCCCTCCTCTGTAGGATGATCTTTCAAGTATTGGAAAAGTACAATCCTATGTCTCCTCAGTCTTCTTTTCCACAGGCTAAACATGCCCAGTTCTTTCGGTCTTTCCTCCTGGGGCTTGGTTTCCCGTCCTCTGATCATCCTTGCTGCCCTCCTCAGAAATTGTTCCAGTTCACCAGCATTCTTAAAGTGTGGTTTCCAAAACTGGACACAGGACTCAAGATGAGGCCTAACCAGGGGAACTAATACCACATGGGATCTGGAGACTCTACTTCTTTTAATGCATCTTAAAATCACATTTTCCTTTTCTGCAACCTCATCACACTGTTGGCTCATATTCAGCTTGTGATCTACAACAATTCCAATATCCTTAAATTTTGAATCTTAATCCAGGAGAGAAACCATCTGAAATGATCCAGTTTATGTGGGCCTAATGGGATTGGGTGTCCTGCCACGTGGGCGGACATGGATAACCTGCATTTTCTCCCAGAATGCCCCAGATTGAAGGGTCTGGTAAGCCACTTCTGGGCATGTTACACCTTTAAAAAAAAAACCTGGGAGGTTGGAATCTTTCTTGACGTCAAAGAATTGTTAAGAAAAACTCTGTGGGTTTTGCTGCAACCAAGGAACACAAATCCCTCTCTGAAAAATCTGGAAATTGCATTCTCTTGGATCTTTATCAAGAGTATTTTATGGGTACTGGTTTGGGGCTGTCTTGGAATGGTACAATCACAGCCGGTTAGCTTGGGGATTTGATCAAAGCATTTAGATTTGAAAGGTCCTGATGTAGCAGGCTTAACAGCTGTCTGCTGGGATTGCAGTCACACACAACACAACTCATCTCTTCTCGCAAAAGCTGCAGGTCACTTCTCTGCTAGGATGAGAGCGACCTCTAGAACTCTCCCTGCATTGCAGGGAAACAAGCAGCCACAGATGAGCTGGAAATCCAGGTGTAGAAATTCAGAAGCCCCCAATTCAAAGCTTGGAAGTGTGATCATTATTTTTTTCAGACAACAACTCCCAGAAATGCCAGCCCTCGTGGCCTACAGTCATACTGCTCGGGGAATGTGGGAGCTGTAGTCCAAAAAAAGAAACCATTCCCTAGATCTGCCCCAAAATCCATTTCTCCGTCTTCTGAGCAGGAAATATACCCCATTTTGCAAATGGGGATAGGGGCCAAAATCCTGTTAGTCAAGTCTAACAAAACAGTGTAATGTTTGGAGGCAAATTGTAGCAACTTATAAAGTCATGGTCACTCAGTGTGCTACACATGTCTGTGCTGATTTTGTAATTTGCAACAATTCGCTGCCAAAAGGTAGGCAATTTGCATTATGCCAGCAACAGGATTTGAGCTATTGTGTTACTTGTGTCTCTCACTGTGCTCCTTTCTTGCCCTGAAACAGCCTTGCTCAAATCTGGGGTCCAGCAGATGCCTGGAACTGAAACACGGACAACATTCTGTTTCCCCCAGGGCAGGATCCAGCATTTTCTCTCCACCCCGGCAGTATTTGCATGTTGCAAACTGAAACATCCTGACTGCCTTGCTCATCTCTGAATTTCTGCATAACTGCAGGCCTCCTGCCTTCAAATGTCTGGATATCTGCGCTTCTTAGCGCCCCATCCTTCTGACCATTTAACCAGAGAAAATAAACGAATCCTGGAGAATTCAAAAGTTTGCCTACAGATCCAGAAGGCTCACAGGTCTGGCAAATCTTCTGTAAGAGCAAAGCTAAAGCATGAGTCGGAAACCTGCGGTCTGAGCCTTAATCCCATGCAGCCTTTGGACTCCTTTTAATAACCGTCTGTAAACAAGCAGCAGGATCTGTTTTCCCACCCATGAGGGAAAGACACATAGATTGGCCTTCCGTACGTTTCCTCCTGTGCCAACAAAAATAAGCTCGATCGTCTTGCTCAGCAACATTTCTAAAGAACGAGGGCTCTTCTGGATGTGGTAAATCTAATTTTCTCTCTAATGTTGACTTCAGTGGGGGATCCTGAATCTACACATTTGAAACAGAAAATGCAGCCCAACGGAGTGAAATGTAACAGGGATAAGAGCAAAGTTCTACACCAAGGGAGGCGGAAACACAAAAGCACAGTTGGAAGATGGGGGATACTTGGCTCAATTATACTACATGTGAGAAGGAGCTTAGAATCATTGCTGAATACGAGCCAGCCGTGTGATATGCCTGGAAAAAGGAATATAGTCTCCAAATCCTGGGAGGTTCTAGTTCCCCTCTATTTGGCACTGGTTAGGCATCATCTGTAAAAAAGGATGCCAGGAAACTAGAGCAAGTTCAGAGAAGGGCAACAAGGATCATCAGGGGAAGGGAAACCAAGCCCTGTAAGGAAAGACTGAAAGAACTGGGCATGTTTAGCCTTGAGGAAAGAAGAGGGAGGGGAGATAACAGGATAGCACTTCTCAGATACTTGGAAGATCATCTTACAGAGGAGGGGCAGAATCTGTTCTTGATCATCCCGGAGTGCAGGACACATATTAATGGACTCAAGCTACAGGAAGCTAGATTTCAGCTGAATGTCAGGGAAACCATCTTAACTGTTAGAGCAGTACGACAATAGAACAAAGCTGTGAGCGCTCCGACGCTGGAGGCTTTCAAGAGAAAACCCTCTGTCAGACCTGCTTGGATTTGGATTCCTGCCTTGAGCAGGGGGTTGGACTTGATGACCTTGTAGGCCCCTTCCAACTCCATTAGCCTGTGATTCTATGATTCGCTGACTTCCTCATCCCAGTCCCATTTACACCATGGAACTATTCTTCTCAAATTCTGGACAGTTCTGCTCTCAGCAGAAATAGGACAAAGTGCAGAACTGCTCATGTAAGAATTAAATGTGGGCCTGCTGCTTGCAGAGCAGGAAGAAAAGTCGGAGTGTGGCCCCTTCTGGACGGCTTATGGAGCAACCCAGTGCAATCTGTTTCCCAACAATCACACGACGTATGGGGAGACACGCTCCAGCCCAACTCAACCTGTGCCCAAGCTGGACTATTTTCGGTCCAGCTGTAAGAGTCCTACCTTTCGGACCCTAGGCGCGAGCAATTCCCCAACAGACAGACGGGACAGTTTAAGGTAGATCTCCCTCTGCAAAGTAACCCTTTCTGGTGCAATCAGACACATGCCTCCCCCATCATCTGATCTCACACCGGATCACCAAATCACTGTTCAATTTGATCATGTCCCCAGTTGTCCGACCAATGGCCAAGCTCACCCCATACATGGCAAAGGGGCACAGATATCTCTTGAGCTCCTCTCTTCTCTTTAACTCTTTGTTTCCTCCTTCATGGTTTCTTAACTCGGGCAAGATAGGAAATCAATACCTCATTCACCCGGGAGCGCAACTGACGGCTTTCAATCAGGTAAGGCAGCTTATGGCCAATCTCCATCCATGGACGATAGAATGGTGGCAGTTCTTTCTGGGAAGAAATGGAAGAAAGATTCTTCATGGACCACTGGTTTTACCGTAGGTTGGGATGCACGCCAAGGAAATGAAAATAATCCTGCATTCCTGGTGCACAGCCTGAGGAAGATGAGCTATCACTGAAAGCTAGATATCCACTTGATTTTTTTTGATGGTCCAATAAAGGTATCACTTAAATAAGAGAATGTGAAGATTACTTATGGAGAAATTGATTAAACAAGGCTGGAGAGCTCTTCAAGAGGATGCTAGCCAGAAATGCCCTCCCCTTCATCTTGAATTACTGTACCCAATTTGATCCATCCCTTTATCTTGACATATTGACAGTTCCAAAGCTAAGGTGGTCATATGTGATCACTCACTGCTATGCTCTCCCAGCAGCTCAGATGAGGGGACAATTGCTCAAGGTACCCCTGGACCAATGTTACTGTGACCGTTCTGTTAGAACCTGATATAGCCACCTCATGCCTTCTTTGACTGTCTGAAAAATTCAACAGCGAGAGAGCGAATCCTCAAAAAAATGGCTATTGAAATATTCAGCCTTCTCAGATACCTCCAAGACTCTTGAGTGGTGTTTGCAAAATACGGTGTTGTAGAAGTGCTCAGTTTTTTTGTTTTAAATTTTTATTTTTAAACTTTAAAACTTGGCACAGCCTATGAGCTACAAACCCTAAATGAACTTGAAATGTGTTATCACCTGCTCCTGCGTTTGTATTTGCGGGGTGAGGGGGGGACCACATAGTTCAGATTTTTTTTCTGAACTATGGAAGATACCTCTTGAATGCCCTCCCCACCCCCAGGGCACCACCTTTTTTGACACCACCCTAGCAATACTGAAGAAAGCATCCACCAGGTAACCTAGTTGCAATTTGATTAAAATCGGCCTCCCCTGGGGGTTAAACTCAATTTCAGCCCCAGCTCTCTGGTGGAGGCTGTCCTGCGACTGCCTTGCCTTTCCCCAATCCCCAGCCAAACAAAAACCTTAAGCTTCAAAAGAAGGCAAATAAGGAGGGTAAGGGGGGAGAGAGATAGCAGCTCTTTGTTTAAAGAGACAAGAGATAAATTCCAAGATGCATAAATTCCAAGAGGCTGCTGGGGGAAGAATTTCCACCCCTGCCCCCACCCTTACAAGCCATACATACTTATTTTTAAGAGAACATGCCCAGAATGAACAACAACCATGCCACGAAACTTTGGGACTCTTAATATATAATTTTTCTCATTATCTTGGTGCACAGCCTGAGGAAGATGGATTAACCTAGAAAGCTAGCTATCTACTTGGGTTTTCCCCTAGTGGTCCAATAAAGTGATTGCGTGCTTCTGTACCTGCGTTTCTTGTCCTCCTCTGAACCCAAGGCCACCCAAGAGATGTGGAAACCTCATCACGATTTCGGTGAACGTCCTTCACGTTCTACTCAGTGGCAGGCCTACATGGTTGGGGCCCTGAAGCTTGAATTGTTATGGGCTCCCCTTCACAACCAGGAACAAACTGTGGGCAACCATTTTTATCTTCTCCAATAGGGCTGTTCCTCGACAGATCTCTGTAGATTTTTTTTAAGCAATGTGGACTAAAGTCGCTTCTGGGAGCCCACTGGGATTAGGGGCCTTGAAACTTAAGTTTCATTAGTTTCCTCGTAAATCCACCCCAATCAACGATGGGGAAGATGGGTTTTCCAGGGAGCAGGATAGCTATGTTGGCAACCAAACAACCGGCCAGGAAGCTCACAGCCCTATTGTGAGGAGAACATCCTGGCAAAGCATGTGTTATATTAATAGTGAGAGCATTAAACACTGATTTTCTATTCCACTGACTTGTTTTTTCTCATTCCCACCTCCTTTTTTCTTTATTTTTGCATGATTCTTTTTTTTAAGAAGTCTGATAGAAGCGTAGCAGCCATTCCCCAGTCCTGCAGCTTTTCAGCAGTTTGGGGGATTAATGAAGTTTGATCTACCAAGGACCTCTGAGGGTGGCGGAGGCCAGGGGAGAACACCACCATTTTAATTATCTACTGACAACTGATGTGAAACAAATTGCTTGTTATATAACCACATTGCCTGAGACAATCCTGAAGAGAGAGACACACACAACACACACACACAACACACACACACACACACACACAAAATTCTGTGTGTCTCTCTAAATCTCTCTCTTTCCAGTCCCGTCATCTGTGTCTGTAAATATATATTCCCAGGATATGGTGCAAAATCAGATCTATAATTTTTTGGCTAACCCATGTTTTAAATTACTTTTGCCCTTTTCTTTCAAGAGAGGGCTTTATCTCCAATCGAGCTGGTTGCCAACCGGTTGAAAACAGACTATTTCCAGCAAAAGTGATTCCCCCCCTTCTTCAAATAAAGCCGTGGAATCCAAATGACTTGGGAATTATTTATGGCTAGTGAGCCAAAGGTTAGGAGTTCGATTTCCCCCACCTGTGCCTCCTGAGAGAAGTGCCAGCCTGGGTAGCCTTGGGCCAGCTGCACAGTCCCGGGGCTCCCCCTAGAGGAAAGGATGGGTTAATAACTTCTGAGAACTTTCTCTAGCTGTAAAACCCTGGAAAAGGTGGTCATAAATCAGAATTGACTTGACAGCAGTCACACACAGAGAGCCCAAGATGTGGGAAATGCTTGATCCTATGGATGTGGTTGAACTACAACTCCCATTAGTCCTAACCAGCATTACCCATCGTAGAGGATGTTGGAAACTGTAGTCCAGCAGCCACTTAACAATTACCACACATCAGGAGGAAGTGTGTCAATAGACTCCCATTTCTCATTACTAGCCCATCTGGGGGTGTCCAAGTGCTTATGTTCTTCCTTTAAAAAGCAAAAAACTCTCCTTTTACTGTGTTGGCTTCACAAAGCCTGCATTCCCTCTGTAGCTGCAATTAGACTCAACTTTGTGGTAAAAAGCAAATCTCCCTTCCTGGCTGTCTTTGATCATCCCCTTGGCCAACCATTCCTCTCTACTGCTTCCCTCCCCCCCCATCATAACTACCACCGCTTACTGCTTCCACAGGATGAATCCTTACCAGCGGATTCGGGAGCAAGAAGCCGTAATCGTCCGAGATGTGGAACCTTCTCAATGTGAATGGTGGCCGTTCTCCCACCTCTTCCTTCTTTGCCTCCATCCTAATCACAGGACAGACCGACCTCGGAGCTCCTTGTAGAACTGCAGAACCTCAAAGGCAAAGGACTGAGTAGGGGGACACTTAGACCCTCTAACGAAGGGCTAATGAAGTTATAGGGCCAGGCTGCGAACTGCAGCTGCTATATGCTGATCATGCAAAGAATTCAAGCTAGCAATTCCAGGGCCTGTACCTTTGGCCTGGACGTCAAATCCAGGTTGACCAATGGCCAGGAGAACTGAGTAAACATCAGCCCTGGCTGCTGATAAGACGGCAAGCTGCAAAACCACGCCAGTCTAGAGACCTTCAGGAAGAAGCCTTTCTTTCATGCCTGCAATTTCCAGATTTAGAGGTCCTCCTGACAATGTCCATGGGCAACGGACATGGACCATGTCCAGGGGGAGGCAAATACATTGATTCCATCGTCCAACCAGTTCTAGCGATCTTTTTCTCCATGAAAAGCAGGTCTTTTGCAAAGCTAAGGAGCCTTAACTGCCCATGGAAGACGACTAAGGTAAAAAGAAGACTGATTTTCATGACAACAGGGACCAATCACATAATTTACCATCTCTGGAACCCTCCTTCCCCTGCATCCACACTATACGTCGTCTTGGCTTCTAAATCGGCAAAGGATCAGAGCCAATGAACCTTATTTTTGGACTACAACTCCCCAAATCATCCATCTTGCAAGGCCATTGTCTCTACTGGCTATGGATTTGGGGAGTTGTAGTCCAAATTATATTCCAACTACTTACGGTGGAGGAAAAGTTGCCCCCAGCAACAGATGGAGCAGGGCCGTTAGTAAAGCATCCATAGTCCCTGATACTCAAACTGTCCTAAGGCTTTATTCGGTGAGCCCTGGCTCCGTGACACCACTCACATGGACAGAGTACCCTACTCAAAACCAGAAAGGTTTCCAAGACCACGATCTGCTTAAAACAAGGTGCACAAACACCGTACGCCTTGTTTATATTTAACAAAGTGCCTTATTTTAAACAACGCCACATGCCTCGAAGCATCTTACTGCACACCAACGCACGGTGCATTTCCTGTGTCTGCCTCGTTTACATTTCAAGAAGGTGCAAAACTGGTAGTAGAGGACTGTGCTCCCTCGTAGGTTTGGAAAGGCCAATGTACCACCAAGAAACTGTTCGCGTCCTAGGACTGGGTTCCTTCAAGGACCACATTAAGTGACATTGAGAATGACGGCGGAGCGCCCCCCCCGGTTCATATGCTCACCTGCACAACTGACAGGCCTCCTGTTATAGAATTTTAATTCCATTTAGATGTGACTTCAGTGTGGCCCCTTCACTACAGGTCTTCAGATGGCCTTGAAAGTTTAGCTTTTCACTGCTGTCTTGGTTTAAAATTACAAATAGCTTGCGCCCTTTGCAGTGGTTTTCTCTGTGCCTCCCTCTGAAATGCCACACATTCTTCTGGTGCACTCAGCCTATGCAACTGTCAGGGCCTCTCTAGACAAGACACCAATTCTGTATGTAGAAACACTCCCCCCTTAACAGGAAAAAGCGGTCTGATTATTCTATCACAAGCTTGCCTCAAGCTGCCGTTAATGAATCAGCTTGTCTTTGTTTTGCAATTGGTCCTTTGGGAGATGGCGTGGCTGTGCATGCATGTTTGGTGTCTCGGCCGGGGAGCTGAAAGATCTGTGTGGCCGGAGGGACGACACTGTAAGAAGAAATGTCCCTTTGTCTTACTGTGCAAGCTGGACCTGGGCTCTGGACTCCAGCCGCTCTCGCTGACTTTCTCCTCTCCCTGCAAAACTCAGTGCAAACCCTTCCCTAGAATCTCATTCCAAACTGTGTTTTGGGACCAAGTCGATTTTATTGTAGAAATTGTAAAGGCAGTAGGCAGTATTTGCCTAAATAATCAGGCAACTGAGGCAGGTTCAAATCCGTATTTTTGTTGCTTGGAACTTCTGGAGGAGGGGAACAGACGCCAGCCACCTTTTGACGATCCAGCCACCGTGTCTGCAGTTCCGGCTGTCGTTGCCTATACGCTGTGAGACAGAGCAGAGAAGGGTCAGCAAAACAAGAATTTGTGCAAAAGCTACAATGTGGTGTGACAAGGACTGCAACAACCACAGCTACAACTACTTCGAAGACACACAGCCAGTCCTAGGACTTAACCTCATGGGAGAGCTAGCATGCAATGTGTGAATAGCAGCGAGTACGGACCTGGGAAATGCTCAATGATGGCCGTGCTGCACGAGGGGATTCTGGGAGTTGCAATGAAACACACACACACCACAATGCTTAGGTTTTGGTTTAAATATTTTCCCTCAAGTCAGAACCAGCACAGCTACCCAGATAGGGCTTTCAAAGCAAGGGAGATGTTGCTGTTAGCCACCTAGAGTGGTCCTGAAGCGAGTACGGACCTGGGAAATGCTCAATGATGGCCGTGCTGCACGAGGGGATTCTGGGAGTTGCAATGAAACACACACACACCACAATGCTTAGGTTTTGGTTTAAATATTTTCCCTCAAGTCAGAACCAGCACAGCTACCCAGATAGGGCTTTCAAAGCAAGGGAGATGTTGCTGTTAGCCACCTAGAGTGGTCCTGACACGACCAGATAGGCGGGATATAATTTAAATAAATAAATAAATACATAAATACATAAATAAGTACATAAATATGCTTGTCCTGCGGGAGTGGGCAGCGTTCCTCTCCTTTAGGGCGGCTACCTTGGATTAATAAATTTAAATTATTTACAGTAATCCTTAAATGTGCAGCAGAGATGTGCATGATTCCTCCCATGCCAGCCCCCTTTTGTTTGTGCTTACCTCTGGAAGGACTCAACCCCTGCCTGTCAGCAAGCAAGGTGCGAATAAACACCAAGGGGTTGCAGCACACGGTTTTCTTTCAATGTTTCCACGGAATTCATTCATTTATTTAGAGCATTTTTACCCTGCCTTTTTTTCTCTTTGAAAAGGACCCAAGGCGGCTTACAACGCTGCAAGACAATGTTTCAAGTTAAAAACAATGCACTGTGCGTGTGGAGTTGTGTGTATATGCAGAGACTACTTTTTTAACAGCAGACAGCACTTCAAGCAAATCTGCTCAGCCTCCCAGATTTGTGCTGTTAATTGCTTTGTTTTAAAAAAATTATTAAGGTGATGGACAGAACAGAAATGTTCAAATGGCATGACCAAAAAAAATTTTTTTTTTACTTTCCTTGGTTGCTCTGAATAAAAGTACAGAAAACTAAAAAGGCTCCATCCCTCTATCCACTACTAGACCACACTGGCTACCCCAGTTTTGCACAGACTGGGGAATGAATAACAATGAAAGAGCTTGCCTGGTAGCTCAAAGAAGCCTTGGCGATCAAAAGTTCAGCTATCAAATTATTGAATTGTTTTTTTAAAAAAATTAAATAGGCATTACAGGTATCAGCAGAACATAGGCAGCTGCTGGATCAGGCTGGACCATGCCTTGTTCGGCTGAGTGTTGAACCCCAGCGTGGAAATGTCAGGAGAGGAGAAGCCTCCCAGGACTAGCCAGCTGGCGTTGGCTGCCCCAGGACAGTTTAAAAAACTGTACCAATGCACACTTTTTAAAACCGCACGAAGGCTCACGTCATGCGACACGGCTGAAGTCGCTGGGAGGCAATGTCCGTCCTTCCTGAAAGTGTGGCTGCAGGCCTGTGGCATGCAAAATGTACGTTCTGCCTACTCATCTTAGGCTCTTCCCTTTTCTCCAAAGCAAAACCGACGGAGCAGGAGGGTCAAGTGCAAGAAACCTACCTTGCCGTCTCTGACCGGGTTGCAGGTTCTGATTTAGATCTAAATGGAAGGGGGGAAATGTACATGTTTCAAAAAAACTGTGTAAAAATGAAGACATCTCAAATCATGCAATAAGGCCGAGTTCACTATTCTGGACTCAGCAGATCCTTTCCAGAACCTTTTTGCATTTCAGCAGAACGAAATCTCAGCTCTTCCGAGATTGCACCTCTTCAGGCCTGGCATGTGCGTGTGTGTGTGTGGGGGGGTTGCATTTATTCCTCTGCACTACAGAGCAGGGGCTACACTGCTGATCACCGTAGCCACAAAACGTGAGCCGATTTCAGATTTGGCTTTTTGTTCTTACAACCGTTGTGGCGATGGAGTTCAAGAGCCGAATGGTCATTTGGGGGAAAGGACAGGTGAAGGAAACCGAAAAGCTTGAGCTATCCCTCCCTGCACAAATAAATAGATGGTCAGCAACAAAAGTCCCTCCTTTCCCACATAAAGGTATATGACATTTGAAACCAGAGAGTTACCAGAGGGGTTGAACAGGATGAAACACTGGGTTGGGTACATCTACCACTTAATCCCCATCAGACAATAGAAATAACCCTATTCCTTTCTTATTAATACATAATTGCAGGATCACTCCTGCAAAGAACTGAGAATAAACAGTAGGACCTCCTTATCCGTGGGATCAGTATCCACTGATCCACTTATCCGTGGTCTGAAAATATTACAAATATTAAAAGAAAAATCCTAGAATTATTTCTAAAGGTGAAGTTACCAGAAATGGGCATAAGAGGGAGCCAGAGACCATGCTATATTAAAATAGCATCCGCTATAATCGGAGTTTTTCAGCATCCACAGGGACGCTTAGAACTGATCCGTGGGGTCCTACTGTATCCAATTTCTGTAGTACAGACTGTGCTACAGCTGAATGGCATGGTGGAATCTCAGGCACCTTGTTAGGGGCCAGAAAGCAGGTTGTCCTAACTGGGCAAAAAGGAATGTAGGGAGAGGTGAGCCCATGGAGGAACAGATCCCATTTGGGACCCCTTGTGGGGCCATCAAGTGCAATCTATTTCCCAACAATTACACGGCATATGGGGAGTCCTGCTCCAGCCTGACCCGAATCCGTGCCCAAGCCGGACCTCTTTGCCCTGAATGTAGGGCTCCTACTTTTCCCAGCAGATGGAAGAGTCCCTTTGTGGGGGATCGTTCCCAGCAACATGACCCTTTCTGATGCAACTGGATGCACACCTTTCTTGCATCCTGAGAAAGTGTGTTCATATCATTGTGAAAGGAAGAGGGATTTATGCTTCCTGTTTCATGGAGAGAAAAAAACACAAGAACGAGGCCATCCTTCACCCAAGAGTCAAACGTCATCGTTAGGTTAACAAACCCGTCCCCCTTACCCTCTATCAGAATCATCTTCTTCCTCTTCTACTCTGACTCTGGAGAAGAAGTAGCTCAGATTTTTGATCAAGATGATGGAGCCAAGAATCAGAGGGAGGAACAGGAAGAAGCCCATCAGAAGCCAGTTTCTCACCGTGGTGGACATTTTACGTTTTTTAATTTGTACAACTGGAACTGCGGGAGGGGGGAATAATAGAAATGAACATAGTTACACACTCCCACACTTCCAAAATGGTGTAGAGAAATCTGGGTAAAGTCACATTTTGGAGATTATAAGTCACACGTAATGTAGGTAAGGTGTGTGAAGAGGGTTTCAAAACAGACATAGCAAGTGAGAACATCCTCATTTTATGGCTATAAAGAAAAAGACCTTCCAGTTACTTTTTCCAGTTACTTTTAAAGGGCCTTTGGAAGGCATTTTGACGGAAATGTTCAAAGATTCTACCATTTCCCTATGCTTTCACCCTCCTCTCTACCCATCCAAAAAAACATAAAGTAACAAAAAACGAGTAAGCAACTCAGAAAGTAATACAGTACAAAGTTTTTTAACCAGGATAATGAGTGAAGATGACAAATTACTTTTTATAAACTATAACGAGTAACAGAAATAAACTGATGTTGAGAAGGAGCGGTCCCGACTCTTATATCAGCATCCAGAGAAGTGGATTGAATTCTGCCTTCAGAGAAGCATATTTTTCCACTAAGGAGTTCAAGAGTTGGTGACGGCCACCAATTTAGGCACTTTAAAAAAGGGGGACTGGACAAATGTAGGTAGGATTTCCTGTGGTAACCATGCTTCCTTGGGGACCAGAGGTCATTTTAATACAAGCTGCTGAAGAGCATGAAAAGGAGAATTCTCTTCTTGCCCTTATGACCCTTTATAGGGATTCCTACAGGCACCTAGTTGACCATAAGTGACATTTAGGCATCCTTCAGTCTTGAGAGACTAGGGTAACATGCTCTGTATGGAGGACTTGGAACAGCGTCTAGTGTGGCTGAGAAGGCCAATTTGAGAGTGACCCATCCACACTGAGGACAAATCCAATCTGTCCCCTGTCCAGCTCCCTGATTTTGCTGCTTTCGGGACTGCCTCTTTGCCTCGGCCTGCTGGACAAGGGTCTCTTCAAATTGGGAGAGGCCGTGATGCAACACCTGCCTTCAGGCTGAACGCTCAGAGGTCAAGGTTACCCATCTGTTGAGGTCCATTCCTAAGGCCTTCAGATCCCGCATGCAGATATCCTTGTATCGCAGCTGTGGTCTCCCTCTGGGGCGATTTCCCTGCACTAATTCTCCATACAGGAGATTTAAGGGACATAGAATGATGGATTAAATGGGTCTTTGATCTAATCCTGTAGGGCTCTTATGCTCTCAAATATCTTTTTTTGGTCTCCCTGTGTCACAGAAAATATAGGATAGACTTTTTTAGAAATATGAATTCAAGGAATCTTTGATGACACTGATGCATAAAACAAACAGCGGTCATCCACCGGCATATGCTGTGATGGAAAAAAGTGGAAATAAGCTACATAAACAAACTCCATTGTACGTCTAGGGGCTTAAATAAAGACCAAGGGCTTAAATAATGTCTAAGGGCTTAAATAAATGCCTAGGCTTTACATATGAATAAGCTAGTTTTCTGTGATATCTTATAAAATAATTGTGTCCCCCAAGATATTCTAGGTTCTGGCCTGGAAGCAACCCTTCATAATTCCATGACAACCAAACTACCTAGCAGACAATTCTTCTGCCCACATATGGTTTGGCATTCTAAGCAATAAACATCATGATCATCCCATTCCTGTGCTAACGATGCATTGTCCATCGGTCTACTGTCTATATCCTGATCCAGTTGTGACCACCACCACAAAGAGATGTGTAAATGCCGACAGCTTAGTACAAGAACTTCGTGTGTTTGGGGCCAATGGATTTCAACCTGCAGATCTCTCAGGAAAACAACCCCACTCACCTTCAAGAGACCCCCCCCCAAGATCTTGTCCCTGTTGATCCCCACCACTCAACAGGTGGAAGCAGAGTCACCTGGCTGTTGCTTTGGAAGCCATGGTGAAGGAAAAGTCATCTAAAGATCAACAAACCGCTTCGGAAGGTGCTGTCAACGCTTCCTCCCAGGCCTCCCTTCTCTTCGCTCATGCAGTCTGGTGGGATCCAGCCAGCGTTGCAGTGACAGTTTCCTTTATTGTTGCACCGCTGCATTGTAGAGGGAGGGGGAAGGAAAGAAGCCACAGTTGTTGTTTCAACTGATACTGTCACCCATATTGCTAAAGCCTTCTTTAGGTGGTCTATTATTTAATCATGCAGGCCACACACTGCGTTCCCCTCTACCCCGGCAAGCTGGGCACTCAATTTATGGATCTTGGAAGGATGGAAGACTGAGTCCATCTTGAGCCAGCTATCTAAGCCCACTAAATCAAACTTGGGTTGTGAGCGGAGGCTTGACTGCAGGACTGCAGTTGCACCACAAAGCTCACCGCTACAATCTTCTGTGTAGCCTGTTCTCAACTTCCCACACATTCACTGCTTCCCCCACCATCGTCTTCCAAATCACTCCAAATCGAGCAACACACCAATGAAACATCCTGGTTGCCACATTTCCAATGGAACCAGAGCACATGGGCACAGAAGATTTAAACCAAACGTTGGCAAGCTCAGTGAGAAAGGATTAACGGAGTCCTTTATTTTGTTCTAGAAAAAAAGATATTGGACTCATTTTTTAAAAAATATATATATAACAGTACACAGGTGGAGGTGCCCTCCATGGGTACACAAATGCATTCTAACACTTCCTTCCTTGTAAAGAGGAACTGATGTATGGGACTGCAGGCTGATGTGGCCCAAATGAAGCCAGGCAAGTGCAAGACGCCTTGTGGAGGAACCAATGTGCTCTTCCAATCAGATTCCAGAACCTGAGAGAGCACTACTTTCAAGATACGGGATAAGTATGGAATCTCATTCTGGCCTGCCACCTTGGTATCAGTGCTCATCCCAGCTGCCCCTCACGCGACTCCATTTCCCAGAAGTCCTGACAGAAGGGGATGACGCTAAGCTTGCCACCTCAATACTCATCACACGCAATACTGTTTGAAGAATTAATGTTGCTTTTACTCACGCCTTTGCTGTTGCAGTTTTTTTCTGGATCGCACGTCACTTTTATGACAGACCTATCGACACACTTCTGGTTCATGCAGATCTTGAAAAAGAGAGAGATGAACATCTCAAATAAAAATGACCAGAAAAAGAGGAAGACCAAATGCAAGATGGATTGACTCCCGAAAGGAATCCACAGGCTTGAGTCTACAAGAGTCGAGCAGGAGGGCTGAGGACAGGACATTCTGGAGAAAGCTCATTCATAAGGTAGGCATGGATCAGAAGCAACTTGATGGCACACAACAACAACAACAACAACAAAAACATTCTATGGAAATCTGAATTTCATAAAACATCTAGCCAAAGTAGGTAGAGACTGATTAAAAACAAACAAGATCAGGTCAAGCAGGTAAAGTCTCAGTAAGGTAAGCAAAGTCAATCGTTCTCTGAAGATCGGGCAAGCAAAATCAGGACCTTGGACAGCAGCAAATAAGCCCTGATGACTGAAATCTTTTCCTATAATGGCAGCTACAGTGGGGTCTCTACTTAAGAACTTAATCCGTATTGGAAGGTGGTTCTCAAGTGGAAAAGTTCTTATGTAGAATCTGCATTTCCCATAGGAATGCATTGAAAACCATTTAATCCGTATCTGCTCTTTTCCGTCCATAGAAACTAATGGGAAGCTGCTATTCCGCCTTCTACCACTAGAGGGGGATTTTTTTCTTCTTTTCCCTTAGGTCAGGGAACAGTGTTAAAAGCACTTCTGACGAAGCTAATTTTGAAGCAATGGACTGAAAACCAATTAATCCGTTCTGGCTGTTTTTTTTTTTTATGTAGAGGTGCGTTCGTACATTGAAGCATTAGTTCCCATAGGAACTAATGCAAAGCTGGTTAATACGTACTCTACCACTAGGGGGAGAACTTTTTTTTTTACCTAAGATGACCTAAAGTTAAAAAAAGAGCAGGAAAGTTTTTTTTCCTGTTCTTATCTGGATTTTTGTTCTCAAGTAGAAGCAAAATTTAGCAAATGGAGCTGTTCTTAAGTGGAATTGTTCTTAAGTAGGGACGTTCTTAAGTAGAGACCCCACTGTATAGGAAAATGTTGCTTCAGCAATGAGCCAAATTCCACAGAAGCCTTTGGCCAACAGACAAAACCTTTAGTGTGGCAGGTGCTGCCCTCCTGGAACTGGTGGGTGGAGGGTTCAAGGACTATTCCTGGTTTTGTAGCCTTGAACTCCTGTAATAGCAGCACTCAAAGAAAGTACAGTACTTTGAAGTCTAAGAACAGAGGCTGGGCTCTTATTTTTTGCCTAGCAAGAAGAGGAATTGGGTAACAATGGGGTTTCCCCCCCGAATGACACACTCTAAGCCTGAGCTGCATCAAAGTCCTCCCCTGTGAAGTTTAAACATCCAGAGGTCATGATACAAGAAGATGTTAAATGCATCAGTGGAAAAGGGCAGTTCCAGGTCATTTGTACCATGTCACCAGAGGTTGACTATTCAGGCAAGGAACAGGACTGGTTGGGTGGACACGGCAACACTAAAATGGGTGCAAATCTTACCTTGTTTTTGCCACAGCCGGCTCCATCATGAACCAAGAACGGATCCTTCACACCCAGCCCCTTCATGTAGTCCAACGTGACGCACAAGCGATTCTGCACCTTCACGTAAATGATAGCCGCATTTTCAATAATGAAGGGCTGTTTGCTTGGATATTCGCACACCAGCTTGCCACATGGGAGGTCCCTGCAAAGCAGTGCCACAGAGGAAACGTCAAGGAGAAAGAGAGAGAAATAGTCAGGTGACGTTAGAGGCACCTCCAAACTGAGGTGTCAAAGCAGTGTCATGTCAAGTGGCTGGCTCCTCGGTATTTTCTTGTCAAGGTTTAAATATAAGCATGGGCTTTCTCAAGAAGGTTAGAAGAGGACAGACAGGAGGCAGAAAGGGGCAGAAAAAATGCCCCATCCATGTTTCACATGCCTAACATGAGCAGATAAAATGACAACACTCCTGGACCACTTGAAACTTCATGGGTGAAAGTGTGACAATGTACAGTAGGACCCCTGTAGCCACAGGGTCAGTATCAGCCATTTTGCTTATCCATGGTCTGAAAATATTAAAAATATTAAAAGAAAAAAAAGCTATAAATATGTATTTCCATGATGTATTTCCAGATCTGCCCATTAGAGGGAGCCAAATACCATGCTATGTATTCTTGTTGTTGAAGAATACATAGCATGGTCTCTGGCTGCCTCTAGTGGCCAGTTCTGGTAATACCCGGTGAAAATACTTTTTTCTGGATTTTTTCTTCTTTTCCCATGCTATCTAGAACATTCACTATTATTTGCCATTTTAAGCATCCACAGAGCGGCTTGGAACCAATTCCCCCACAGATCCAGGGATCTTACTGTACTGCACATACTAGCCCACGATATCTGCCGATTTTTAAAATTTATTCTGTATATCCTGCCTTCTTCTTCAAGAGGACCCAAGGTGGCTTGAAATGACATACAGTATTCATTTTCAGGATTTTCTATGAAGCTGCCACATGTGTGATTGTTTCCATCTATAGGGTGGCATGGTATATTCTTCTGGACTGTATCCCATGATTTGATGTGTGTCTATTTTGTGCTGGCATTATTATGTGCTGTCAAGTCCTTTCCAACCTATAGTAGCTCTGACCGGGTTTTTCAAGTCTACAAGATGCTCAAGGAGTGGTTGATCATTGCTGAGCTCCAGTGAATTGCCATGGCTGAACGGGATTCCAAATTCAGGTTTCTTGGGTCTCAGTATGGCATTCTACCTTCTGTGCCATATTGGTCCCCTAGTGTAGCAAAGCCCTGGGAAACCATTAATCATTTGCAAAACTCATGACTAGCACAAGAGGGGAGGAGCATCACTTTAACAACGTTATTGCAACATTTGCCTCTTGTAGCGCATAGGGATGGCATGAGAATGATCACATATCAGTGGCAGTTCTGTACGGCATTAACAAGTTGTGCCCTGGACAGTCAGCCTTAACATGTCTTGCAACACAAGCATCCACCCTTGGCTCCGTTAAAGTAATGCCTTACAGCCAGTGCAGAAAAGAGACATTTTCAAAATGTAATATTCACTTTTTATCCCAAACGTACTGCCACTGACAGTTCTGGTATCCACGCGCGGTGGAGCCACAGTGCCCCATCCTGTCTCTTTGGCTGTTGATTTCTTCATAGCACTGCAAAGATCCACTTCTTGAATCTGCAAACACAGCAGAGATCCAGAGGCATCAGAGACAGAATGCTCCAGGAGAAGTACAGTAGGATCCCCATATCTGCGTGGGATCGGTTCCAAGCCTTCTCACAGATACGGAAAAACACGGATTATAGTAAACACTATTATAATAGTGACTGCCATGCATAGCATGGTCTATGGCTCCATCTGCTGGCCAATTCATGTAGGTTTGCCATTAGAAATATGTATTCATGAGATTTTTCTTTTAATATTTTAAATATTATCAAACTGTGGATAAGTGAATCAGCAGATACTGATCCCACGGATAAGGGGGTCCTACAGTACTGTCTTTCAGTTCTAAGCATTATGCCCTGCTAAGAGGAGCAGTTTCCCATCACAACAGGACAAAAATGAAGATGACTTGCATAAAATTTGTGCACTCTGATCTGTCGGTTGGATCCAGATGTTGTCATCATTTGTGCAGATGACCTGAAATAATGAGACATCAGCTCATTGGTTTGGTTTATCTTTTCTGATAAATCTGGATATAAGCTGAAATCCTCAAATCCATTCCTTAAAACTTACGGTTTTAAGCAATGCATCCCATGTAAGCAGGGTAACCGATGAGCTGATTGCTGCCTATGACCGTCTTGTTCCTTCTAATGGCTAATGGACAAATTCAAGGCCCCCATTCTTCCAGGCTTTTGAATCTTTAAACTGAACTTGGATCAGACAGTCTTCCAAAAAGAGGACTGGCCTCAATAAAGTAGGACACGAGGCCACTCTTTTCCCTGAACCACACCCAAGCCAGAGAATCCTAGAAAAAGATACGTTAAGTAATGTATACACCCATGTGTCATGCATCTGGTAGATTCCATCGCTGCTGGAACCTGCCACATATTTTGCAACAAGCCTTCTGCCCTCTGCATTAAGGGTTGGAACAAAGGTAAAGGCATGACTACACATTAAGGGAAATGTGAATTCATTCACATTCACTCACTGTGATATAGCACTGGGGAATCTGGGCCTGTTTGACTTAAGGGGCCACACACAGGAGACAAGAAAAAAACATGATTGCCACTATATTGAAGCCCAGTAGGAGGCACAGTTCAAAGAAAGTGGCTGAACAAGCTGTAACAAGGCTTTCTCCTATCATTTCCTTCTCTCCTTAACGTACATGTGTGTGTGTGTTTGTGTTTAGGTCCCCAAATGAATAAGAACTGTCAACAAGCTGCTTTAACAGAACAAGACACAAGTTTTGCCAAGAGAAGTTTTGCTTGTCCTCAGCGGTAAAAAGGAAAGTCTTCTCCAGTCTTGGTTCACTTTAGCTGAGGGAGGAAGGGAGGAAGGAAGGAAGGAAGGAACTGACAGTTTGCCGTTCCTGAGTGTCTGCCGGCACAGCAGCTTTTCTGTGGCTTTGCTGCACCATCTCAAGCGACACAAGTCTGAACCAATGCAATTTAATTGAACTGTTGTGGAAGTGGAAGCCCCAGCAATGATGGGGAAAAACTATGAATTTGTGGGGAGCAAACTCTAGGCTGATCTATATTTCCCTTTGTATCATGTGCTTGGCATGGGGAAAAAATGCAGATCAGACCCCTCCAAATCCATACTAATATCCCGCATTTTTAAGAGGGAGAAGAGACAGCATCCTTCCCCCAGCCCTCCAAGGATGCTGACCTCCCCCAGATCTACCAGCCTCTGGTTCCTCCTACTCAAAGCATTGCTCCATGCAAACGTCAGCCCGAGAGTCTGCCTAGTGGCCCCTTTCAACCCCATTTTGAGGAGCAACAGCAGAGAAAGTACCGTTTGTGAGCGCAACAGGATGCACAGGCACTTGGCAAAAGAGAGAAGATCAAGGAAAACAGAAGAGGACAGCATCTTTCCTCCTGGGGAGGAAAGATGCTGCAAGGAAGGAGCAGCATGAGAAAGACGGGGGGTGGGTGGGTCGGCAGGTGGACCGGTTACCTTTTCCAAACGTTTTTCGGCACCACAGATCTGGGCTTTGACATATTCCTTTCATGCAAACTCCAGTTTCCCCTTCACACAGCTGCCCGTCTTGGACATAGAAATCCTCCGTGCACACTGGCGAGGTACCATTGCAATACTCCACCAGATCACAGTACTCATCAGGACTCTCTCGACATAAGGTGCCCTTAGGCTTCAACTGGCAGACAGAAGGGAAAATGAGACTATCGCCAACCGGCCCATTCTTAAGATAATACATCCATTCATGTCTTTCAGTGTGCGGCTCGCTGGAGCTTCCTTGTGTCATATTCTTTTGCTGACCTTGTAAGGTGGTGGAGGAAGACCACCTATGCAAGCAGGGCTGCCTCTATATGGAGATCTATGGGTGCGACTATACAGCAGGAAAAATGCAACGATCTGCTGTGAAGCCACACCTGAACGCTAGGTTTCCTCTGCTGAATTCATTTTCGTGGCTCACAAAGGTATCAAAAGAGGGAGCAGAGGAAATCAGCAACCATTCCTCATTTGCAGCTTCTTAAGGTGTCTCCACTGCAGCCATCCAGATTTGCAAGAAGCATAGGGCTTCCCTTCACAAGCTGCAAACAAGAGCTGCCTGCCAATTTCCTCCTCTCTGACATTTCCTCCTCATTCATTTCCCCTCCTCTTTGGTCTCCCCTTGGTGTACCACACTGCATCATACAGTCAACAGAAATTAATGTGATTTGGACCATCCCAAACCTGCAGAATTCCCTACATTATTTGTTCACGCAGTTGCATCCTAAGAAAGATCATGGGTGCTAGGATAAATGCATCTGGAACTTTAGGGTAGTTTCCCTCACTTTCTAAGGATCAGATTTGAGTTTTCAGCATGGGACAAGTCTGTATCACTGGAATCAGGACACTGATATATACAGCCTAGAAAGGAAATCAACTCTTGGGAAGCATGGCCTCTAGAACCCCTCCCATCTCAGGGGAGCAGGGGGGAGGATTTAACCGAACAGTTACACTCACTCTGCAAGTCCTCGGCCAGCAACATTCTCCTTGGGCACATTCTTTTCCTTTTTTCAACGTACAATCAGGTTCACAACAAGGACTGCTTTCACATTGCTAGAAGGAGGGAGGGAAACAAGGCATATGGATCAGAGGGAGTCAGAATGCATCATCAAGCAGTTCATACCACCCGGGGGTCGGGATGTTTCAGCAGCCGGGATGTTGGCTCCACACCCTGGCATGGAAGACTCTCTAGCTCCCTCTTCAGGTATTATTTTTAATTACTTCTCAAGTTCCTGTTGTTAACTTCCTTCTTGTTCTCCATTATTATTATT